TATTAATTAATATAATTATTATATTGGAATATTATCAATTCATAATATAAAAATATATATACATCAGTTCACAATTCAACCGAGTCATAATGCCGCACACATCCACTATTCGATCCCACCTTTTACTGACTACCAAACAACCGAGCAAATCGGACTCATGCATGAGACGTGCAGAGACGTTCGTGTGTTTCTCCCCCCCCCGCACAGCGCGCATGCGAGAGAGAGCCCACTTTACCTCCTGCTCAACTCTTTCCTCACAGCGGACACGTGTGACAACTCCGTGTCGCTCGAACTGCTGCTGTCGAAGCTCAGACGATTGGCTGCCGCTGCGGCGGCGGCGTCCCCCTGGTGGGAGGGACTCGCATCGCCGCGCGGGGGCGCCGCCGCAGCCGTCTCGCTGGATTCGCGGCGCGAGCGGCGCGTGAACCACGTCATCTTCTCCCACATGGTGGCGCGACCTGGTGGCGAGATTAGCGAGCGCTTGTTAGAGCGATGTTGCTATGGCAATGGTTTTATTGGTATTGATAGGGGAGGGCATGACTGTAGGAGGTGACGATCAGACGAGACGACGGACAGAGAGAGAGCGAGAGCGAGAGAGAGAGAGAGAGAGAGAGAGAGAGAAAGAGAGAGAGAGAGAAAGAGAGAGAGAGAGAGAGAGGGAGAGAGTGAGAAAGAGAGAGAGAGAGGGACAGGTACGGAGGGAGAAAGAAATAGAGAGAGAGAGAAAGATAGATAAAGAGAGAGAGAGAGAGAAAGATAGATAAAGAGAGAGAGAGAGAGAAAGATAGATAAAGAGAGAAAGAGAGAAAGAGAGAGAGAGAGACGGAGAGAGAAGAAAAGAGAAAGAGAGGTAGGAAGGGAGATAGCGAGATAAAGACTTACTCTTTCCACGTCGAGGAAGAGTCCCCCTTACAGTGCTCTCCTCTTGCTCACCACCAAGTACCTCTCTGGAAGCACTGGGCTGCATCTGAATCATGCAACCAAATCACCAATCATGCAACTGAATCATCACACACACTCAGGGGTAGAAATTAACTTTTGAACAAGCGAGTCCAACAGACTCCATACCATCAAAAAGAGGGAGTCTGCAACAAAACAAGGCAGTCCGCAGTATACAAGCAGTACCGCAGATATTAACAAAAAGGACATTTGCAGTGCACGTCTGGCAAATTTTCTTGGGTCATTTGCTAAAAAAATATGGTAATTCCGCGAGGCCGTGCTCTGGAACTAACTAGTATAGTATAATTTTCAGGGAGTCACACGGACTCCCACATATGTCAAATCAGGGAGTCCGACAGTAAATCAGGCAGTATTTGACTCTGGACTCGCGTTAATTTCAGACCCTGCACACTACGTCACGAGTGACATCCTAACACTCCACAACAATACATCAATCATATACTAGTAAATGATTAGTCCTCAAAGTACGAGGCACAACACCGAAGGAGTTTTTAAATCATCACTAGATCAATACAGTCATGTAGGCCTACATTGTAATTCACCACATATCCAACCAAATAATTGCAGCTATGTTGTTGTTGTTGTTGTTGTTATTCATTAATCCTCCTGTTACACGAGGTAATCATCACGGTCACAATGTATACACGCTTTGTATCGTTAGCTTCCAGTGTTTTTCCTCGTGAATGGTAAATTATTATTTTTTTGGTTAACAATGGAGTGTCTGTGGCTAGATTACTGGGAGGGGCTCCTGAAGACAGGAATCTGGAGAGGGCCTGTTTGATGATGGCATCCATCTCTGGTGTTAGATTCTTGTTTTCCCCAGTAAGGGTGGCAATGTCAATTGTCCGATGGCTTGGGTTGGTGTTGGTCTTCACATACCCTAGATCGATCGTGTCGGTCATCTTCTCCCTGCTAACCCTGAGTCGTGATCAATGGACGATCTTGTGGTCCACGGTCTCGTTGGCAAGTCCACAGTCGCAGAGGGGACTATCGCTTGCCCTGATCTTGAACATGTGGTCTTTCAGTTTTGTATGTCCAGTTCTTATCCGGTTGAGCTTGGTTTCCGTTCTGCGGTTGGTGAGGCTGCGAACGCTGCTTACGTTTACCTTTGGCTCCAGACGATGAAAATACCTGCCTGTTTCAGAGCTGTCCCATGAACCCTGCCATCGCTCTACCAAGGCTTTCTTGATTTCTCCTTTGGCTTCGGAGAAGGAAAGCGGAGAGTGGTCTTCAGATTTAACCATTTCTGCGGCCTCGAGGGCTGCCTTCTTCGCTTCTTATATAGCTCGCTTCTTTAATAGCTCGCTTCTTCATCTGCGAGTTCTTTTGCGGCCAGGCCTGCATGTCCTGCTACCCAGCAAATGTCGATATTGATGTTATTTGTGTATAGCTGCTTAACTCTTTCTTGGATGTTCGAGGTAAGTGTAATTGTCGTTTTGTTTGGGGGGCGTGACAGTGAGAATGGCGCTTTGGCAGTCCGAGAAGATTCTGAGTTTTGATATGGTGTGGCGTGCAGAGTAGTTGACTGCGAAGTCCATTGCAAGGAGAAACTAAAACAACTAATAGTAATAGTAATACAGTGGGTAATAGTAATACTAATTACTAATACTATACTCAGAAGATCACAATACAATAATCAATATATACTCGGAATACTGCATAGTAAAAGTACGAGACAGTTTTCAACAAAGACGACGATCCACTTTTTATTTGGCATAACACTCTCATTTATTCATTGAGCGATGTACTTCCTTTCAGTTTCATCCAAAACTTTTTTAAGAATTTTTTAATTGTGTATGCGTCGGAGTCTTCCGCAGTTCCGGATTTCTTTATTATTACCTGATTTTAGTAGCTCACCTTATTCATTGGTTTTCAAGCAATCGTGCCCGCAGCAGAGAGATCACGCGGAGGGGAAAGACTGACGGACAGAAGGACACCGTATTGGACCCCCCATAAAACGAAACGTGTGGGTTTTTCTCGACGATTGTTCTTGTTGTTGTTGTTTACTTCGTCTCCGATCGTAACACATGAGATAGACGGGGAGGTCTGGTTCGTGCCTGTATGGAGAGATGGCGAGCGATTTCATAGTTAGATTTCACCACATAAAAGGAAATATGACGCAGGAAAGCATTCAAAATAGAGATATTATTAAAAGACATCCATCAGTGCCATTGCTAATTACTTAATTTTACCCGTCTAAAATATAATAGGTGTTACGGGTAAATTATGGGAAGTTTTCACGTGGTAGGCAAAACAACAATTTTTTTGGTTTGTTTCATTTCTGCTCCCTCAAATATTACTAGCAACGAGCGCGAAATATATGCAGTAAAAACGAAAAAATCGAGTATGGAGGAAGCACTAGACAAAGTACTTGATGACACGTAAGGTTTAGTTGCTTTTAGTTGGCTAAATTGGGCATAAATCATTAAATGTAAGTTTAATTCGTTCGGCGATTTGTCGCTTACTCGTCTCGGGGGTGTCAGGCACATGTCATACTCATAGTCAGTCACGTGACACGTGTGGAGTTGTAAAACCACTTGTGTACGAACGTACGTAGACTAAGATAAGATAAGATAAGATAGAAGATAGATTCACTAACCTAGTCGTATTTATTGTGGTCTTGCTTAGTTTCTTTATGAAATTTGTGAATGTGTAAGTCTCAATTCGCACTAACACTAACAGTAACAGTAACAGTATATTAGGTCAGTAACAATGTCAGTAGGAGTGAATAATAATACTGCCACTGGTAACTTAATACTAATAGTAATAGAGTATGAATCGCTCGAAACACAAGAAATTCAACATTTTCATGCCCATATTTAACTATGATTTATTACGTAAAATTCAATAGAAATGACATCAGAACTAGCGCTGTGCACCCATCTTGTCCTCACACTTTACTGTGTATCGATACCTCTTCTTATTATGTAGTTATAAGCTTCGAACGTCAGACGTGGTTTCATTGATTTACACAGCAAATTGTCGGCAATTCGCAAAGTTCCCTGAGATCAGATTGCCAAACTTTCCAAAATGCCGCCAAAACGAAAGTTCAACTTAGATTCGGCTCCAGACAAACGACGAAAAAGACCTTCTATAAGTGCGTCCGGAGCCCGCTATTAATTTCACACGTAGAAGCACGCGCGATTTTGCGAGTTGCAAATCCCTGCCGAAACCCGCCAACAGGTGTCTCAGAGCAAGCTGCCTTTTGTTCGCGTTTACAGCGTGTGATAGATAGACAATTGGCTGTGTAAATAAATGAAACCACATTGAAGACGTTCGAAGCTATAACTACATATAATAAGAAGAGGTATCGAATCTATCGATATACGTACACGCTGGTACTAGACCAATAAATTGTGCCCTAAATTTTTTTTTTATTCTGATGTTATTTTAGGGCCCAATAGCCTTCCATAGACAAAACCTGTGAATTCTGTCGTGCAAAATGCACGACAACCTTCTCACTATTTACGCCTATTACGGCACGAAGGGTCGTTGTCGTAACAGGTGCTACAGATATGTACCCGAGTTAGTT